CCCACATAAAAGCAAATATTTCATCTATTAGACAAAGAAAAAGCAGAAATAATATGTATTCAGGAGATGAACATTAGGAAAAAAGACAACAAATGTTTACAAAATTCAAAATTGGGACAGATATATGTATCAGCTAGAAAAAAGAAAAAGAGTGGAATAGTAGTTTGTGTCAAATAATCTGCCAGCTAAAGAAATTGCAATTGATGGTGAAGGTAGATATGTAATGGTAGAAGTTAATTTGAATGAGAACCCAACATTTTTGATCGGTGTGTATGCACCTTTGGAAAATAAAGCAAAATTTTATAAACATCTAAGGGCCTAAGCAGACTGCCAGAAATAGTGCACATTAAATTGAGGCACTGCCCTGGCTCAGTGCTAGAGAATCATGGGGACTGTAGTTTTTTCTGAGACATTGAACCTTCTCTGTCAGAGAGCTCTGGTGCCACAATAAATTACAGTTCCCATGATTCCCTAGCACTGAGCCAGGGCAGTGCCTCAATTTAATGTGCACTATTTCTGGCAGTCTGCTTAGGTCCTAAGTAAGATCATTGGTGACTTAAAACACAAATGAATTTTGATGATGGGAGACTAGAATGGGGTAGTTAAGACCATAACAGACAGAGACTCAGTGAAAAAGAAAATAAAACAAACACAAGGGAAACTACCACAATGCAGAGTTTGCAGGGGGGGTTATCAAAAAAAATGCTGGGGAAAAGGGAGACTCGAAAATAAGAAGATTGAAAAAATAAACCAACAAATTTGAAACAAAGAGAAAGAGCTAAATCTAAATCTGGGTAACAAAGAAATTATCTAAGAGATTAAAAGATTACAGGCACAGATAGTGGTTCTAACAGTAGAAGAAATTGAGAAAAAATTAAAATTTGCTAGATGAAAACAATTTGAGTTCAGAAACAAGCTGGGGAAATTATTGGTGTCTAAAGTTGGTTGATTGAAAAAGAAGAGGTTGATCTTAGAGATGAAAGATGGTGGAAAAAAAGTCACAGACTTAATGGGAATTAAGTCAATTTTTGAAAAATACTACTCAATCTTATATAAGGAGGACAAGAAAGATGGCGAATTTAAAGATAAACTGATAAAAAACATTCGGCAACATACATTGGGGAAGCTAAATGAAGAACCTAAAGCTCAACTAAATGAGAATATTTCTATGATGGAGACGATAAAAGGACTGAAATCAGGGAAATCCCCAGGACCAGATGGATTAATGTCTCTCTATTATAAAACGTTGTTAGATGAATTAAACCCCCCTCTACATTTGCTATTTAATGAGATTAGACATTTAGGAATCCCAGATTCTTGGTTAAGCGTAAACATCACTCTTATACCAAAAGATGACAAATACTTATCCCACCCAGGAAATTATAGACTTATATCTTTGCTAAACCAAGATTATAAAATATTCACCACAATTTTGTCAAACAGGTTAAAGAAAGTGTTACAACAAAAAATACAGGAAGAGTAGTGTGGATTTTTACCCAAGAGGCACATGGAACAAAACATTAGAACGATAATTAATTTGGTAGAATACTATGAAAAGAACCCTGGGAAGAAAGTGGCTTTCATATTCTTAGATGCAGAGAAAGCCTTTGATTCAGTGAACTGGGAATTCATGAGCTATGCCTTGGAAATTATGGAGTTTGGAGACAAATTCTTAAATTGAACACAAGCAATTTATAGGACACAATATGCACATTTGATTATTAATGGAGAGAGAAATGATGCAAAATTACAAAAGGAACAAGACAGGGATGCCCACTTTCACCCTTATTTTTTATCTTGGTTTTAGAGATTTTAATTAACCAAATAAGACAACATGACCAAATAAAAGGGGCACAAATTAAAGGACATAACTACAAGATAAGATCATATGCTGATGATATAGTTCTGGTTTTTGAAGATCCAAATGAAAAAATAATAATGACTTAATGGAATTGATACAAGAATTTGGACACTTAGCAGGACTAAAAATCAATAAAAACAAATCAAATATCCTCACCTGGAATATGACCAATGCGGAAGAATTGGATCTACAAAGGAGATCAGGCTTTCAAATTAGTTAAAAAATTAAATATTTGGGAATTGTACTTACAAAAAAGAACACTAATCTTTATGACAATAATTATGAATCATTATGGAAGGAGATCAAGAAAGATATGGCAAGATGGAAAGACCTAAATTCAATTTTATTAGGAAGAACCTCCCTGATTAAAATGTCTATTTTACCCAAATTAATGTTCCTATTCCAAAATTTACTGATTCTGACAAGTGATAAGCAATTTTTGATATGGGAAAAAGAGATTTCCCATTTTATTTGGACTGGGAAGAAGCCAAGAAGCCATCTTCTGATTCCAATTATATAGTTCATCTGATTTTTGTATTGGCCATCTCATGAGGTCCATATGTATATTCTCCTCTATGGTTGTATGAAAAGTTTGTTTTCAATGGTTGTTGGCCTCACAAAATTCTATTAGACACTTTTCTGCATCATTTCTTATACTTAGTCTGAATTTTCCTTCTGTTTTTATTTTTCTTTGCTTCATCCTTTAGCATTCTAGTCATGATTTGCTTGACATCCTCTGTTGGTGTGATGTCTATTTCTTCCTGAATTCCTTCATAGAATTTCTTTGTTTCTTCTTCCTCTGCATCTGATTTCCATGCAGACATGCAAAGGGTTGTGCTGTAATTCTCCAAAATGTTTCTTAGACTAGCAAATTGCCATAAATTTTGAATTTATGTTCTGAGATTTTAGTGGCATTCACTAATACAGGCATATTTTCCATTGCTTTGCTTTTTTTTAAAAAAAAACAAAAACAAACATTTTTCCATATTTCATTATTTCCCCCACTCTTCTTATTTTTTTATTTGCATTATTACATACATACAGCCAAACATTCATATATCTTCCATATTTGTGACTAATTTTAACATTTCCTTGAGTAAGCTCAACATTCTCAATTAAGCAATTAGTTTACAATATTCTTTCTTCTTCTGGCATTTCAACTAGTTCATACATTTTCTTTCTCATAAAAGTTGTTATAGATGGAGAAGCTCTATTCTTGCAGCCAAAACTAGACAAGGTGTGGACTGTGGTACAGATCATGAACTACTCATCTAAAAAATTAGAGTAAAGCTGAAGAAGAAAACAAAAAGAGTGTTATACCAAAATATGACCTAAACAATATCTCAACAGAATTTACTGACAATGTAAGAAATAGATTTGAGTTATTAAGCGTAATCAGGAACCAGAAGGACTATAGGAAGAAGCTAAGGGCATAATAAAAGCAAGAATGCAAGAAAGGGAAGAAAATAATGGATAACAGATGAAACATTTCAAGCAGTGAAGGAAAGAAGCAAAAGAAAAAGCAGGTAGGATCAAAATGAGAACCATGAATGCAACTGCACAATGTCTAGTGCACAAGAACAAACTACATACTACTATAATGAGTGATGTAGAGAAACAGAAGACAACCACAAAAAAGGAAGAACAAGAGAACTCTTCCATAATATCCGGGAATTCAAAGGGAAGTTTAAATCCAGGATTGGGATGCTCTATGACAAACAAACAAAAAAGAACATACTGCAAGATCAGGAAGAAATTAAAAAGGCACTGAATGCAAAACACAGAAAAGTTATATAAAATATGAAAAATGAATGATATATAGACTTAAGAATTTTAAGAAGATGAAATCCAAATTCTAAAAAGTTAGGTCGAAGCTGCAATAAGAGAAATGGTGAAAAATAAATCATGACAAACTTCTACAATCCACACAGACAGAATAAACTCTAGAGTTAACTTATATATGTCAACAAATATCTAAAATAAAATGGTGGCCAACAGACTGGAAATTATCAGTCCACAAAAAAGGAGGCACAAAAAATGGCAGCAATTATAGGACCATAGCATTAATTTTCCATGGAAGAAAATTATGCTCAAAATTCTGCAACATAGAGTCCAATCATGTATGGAGAGAGAAATCCCAAAGGTCCAAGCAGGGTTCAGGAAATGAACAGGCACTAAAGAACACATTGCAAAGACAGTGGCTTATGGAGCATACCAAGGAATTCCAGAAGAAAATCAGCACATCCTTCATAGACTATAGCAGAGCATTTGAGTGCATATATCATGAAAAAGCTATAGATGGCTCTTAAAGAAATGGGACTGCCAATATATTTTATAGTCTTGCTGAGAAATCTGTACTTAGGACAAGAGGCTAGTGTCAGAATTGAATATGGAGAAACAGAATGATTCCCAGTTGGCAAAGGGATCAGACAAGGCTGCATTTTATCACCCTATTCGTTCAACTTGTATGAAGAAAATATCATATGAAGAATAGGTTTAGATTCAAAGAGGGAGGAATGAAGATAGAAAGAAGGAAAATCAACAATCTACACTTTGTGGATGACATCATACCACTAGCAAAAAACATTACAGACTTGTAACAATTATTAAGGAAGGCCAAAGGAGAAAGTGCAAAGGCAGGCTTATGGCTGAGCATAAAGAAAACAAAAATAATGACCATGGAGGATATACATAAATTCAACCTAGACAATGAGAAAATTGAAATAAAGAGTTACCTTATCTTGGATCAAACATTGATCAGACTGCAGTCAAGAGATCAGAAGAACCTTAGGACAGCTATGAAAGAACTAGACAAGATTCTGAAGAGGAAAGAGGTAGAACCAAACACTGAATAATTCAAGCCATTATATACCCTATCCCATGTATGGATACGAGAACTGGGCAGTGAAAAAAAAAGTGGAAAAGAAGAAAATAAACTAATTTGACATGCGGTGCTGGAGAATAGTGATAAGGATACCAAGGACAGCCAAAAAGACAAAAAAAAAAGGGGGGGTCCTTGAACAAATCAAGCCTGAAATCTCCCTGGTAGCCAAGATTATCAAATTGAGGCTGTTGTACTTTGGTCACATCATGAGAAGGCATGACTCATTAGAAAAGATATAATGCTGGGAAAGGTAGAGGGTAGTAGCATAGTGGTTTGAGTGTTGGACTATGACTCTGGAGATTCTGGGTTAGATTCCCAACTCATCCATGAAACCTACTAGGTGACCTTGGGCAAATCACACTCTCTCAGACTCATGGGATGGCAATGGCAGAACTCCTCTGAACAAATCTTGTCAATAAATCCCTATGATAGGGTCACCTTAGGGTCACCATAAATCAAAAACAACTTGAAGACACCCAACAAAAAAGTAGAAAGAGAGCAAGAATGCACATCAAATGGATAGATTCAAATCAGGGAGGCCACAGGCCTGAGTTTGCAGGACATAAGCAGAGCAGCAGATGACAGGAGATCTTCAAGATGTTTCATCCACAGGGTTGCCATGAGTCAGGGTCAACTTGAGGGTAGTTAATAACAAGTAACTTCCACTAGATTACTAATTCACATGGGATGAATTAATGGTAGTTGCAGCCTAATCAGGCAGCCTCTCAATAATTGATTCTTGCCAAGAATTTTTTTGTGTGTTTTGTTTTCATGTTTAATGAGTGGGTGCTATTTTTTTTACTGATGTGTTTTATCAATAACAAATTGTCCAGTTTGAATCAGCCATACAGTCAGTGAGTGGTTTTAAGAATGATATTCCCATTTAGCAGACTTTCTTAAGCAAAATAGCTCTGCAAAGGAATATACTCTATTTGTTCTTCACACCCTACTTTCCTTTTTTGGAAGGATGGTACTTCCCCTCTTCTTTGACCCACACATCAACCAGGTTCCCCCTCTCCCATCATTAATCCATCCTCATTCCCTTGTCTGTTTGTCTGATTGTCTGTCTGTCTTTTTTCCTGTACTCAGGCAAATTTGAAAGCCTAAGCAAGTGAATTTCTTATCTTTTATAAAGGCTTGTATTGCATTTGATAAAAAAAGTCTTGCCTCATTCACATATTGGTGTTTTTTGG